ACATATATATAAGCTGTTAATCGCCAATCTGGCATATATATAAGCTGTTGACCGCCAATCTGGCATATATATAAGCTGTTGCCTGCCAATCTAGCATATATATAAGCTGTTAACCACCAATCTAGCATATATATAAGCTGTTAACAGCTGATCTAGTATATATATAAGCTGATAACCACTAATATAATATATATATATAAGCTATTGACAGCCAGTCTGCTCTATATATATGTGAATAACAGCTGATCTGCTCTATATATATGTGAATAACAGCTGATCTGGTATATATATAAATGGATGACAGCCAGTCTGCTCTATATATATGTGAATAACAGCTGATCTGCTCTATATATATGTGAATAACAGCTGATCTGGTATATATATAAATGGATGACAGCCAGTCTGCTCTATATATATGTAAATAACAGCTGATCTGGTATATATATAAATGGATGACAGCCAGTCTGCTCTATATATATGTAAATAACAGCTGATCTGCTATATATATAAGTGAATGATAGCCGGTCTAATATATATATAAGTGGATGACAGCTGATCTGCTATATATATAAGTAGATGACAGCCAATTTGATATATATATAAGCTGATTATAGCTGATCTGCTATATATATAAGTGGATGACAGCTGGTTTGATATATATATAAGTGGATGACAGCCAGTTTGATATATATATAAGTGGATGACAGCTGATCTGCTATATATATAAGTAGATGACAGCCAATTTGATATATATATATAAGTAGATAACAGCTGATCTGCTATATATATAAGTAGATGACAGCCAATTTGATATATATATAAGCTGATTATAGCTGATCTGCTATATATATAAGTGGATGACAGCCGGTTTGATATATATATAAGTGGATGACAGCCAGTTTGATATATATATAAGTGGATGACAGCTGATCTGCTATATATATAAGTAGATGACAGCCAATTTGATATATATATATAAGCTGATTATAGCTGATCTGCTATATATATAAGTGGATGACAGCCAATCTAATATATATATATAAGTTAATTATAGCTGATCTAATATATATATAAACTAATTATAGTCAATTTGATATATATACAAGCTGATATTAGATAATTTAATATATATATAAGCTGATTGTAACTGATCCAATATATATACATACTGATTATAATCAATTTAATATATATATAAGCTGATGGCACCTGATCTGATATATATATAAACTAGTGATAATCAATTTAATATATCTATATATTGATAATGGCTAATTACATACTTATATAAGCTGACAAAAACTAATATACTATATATATATAAACTATTGATAGTCATTTTAATATATCTATAAGTTGATCATAGCTAACATAGTATATATATAAGCAGATAATAACTAATCTAATATATATGTAAGCTGATTATAACTCATATGCTATATATATAAGTTGATAATAGCTGATCTGATATATATATATATACTTATAACAGCTAATTCAATACATATATAGACTGATAATAGCCAA